CCTTTTTTTATGAACCCAAAAAGAAACCTCACTGGATCCACTCGGCCCTGTGGAGGATTTTAGCATCTTTCAGCTCCTTTGCTGTTTGTTTAATGTCACACATCAGCTGGTTGTTGTTGTTGTTTTTAACAATAAAGCTTTAAGGAAACTGCTGTTTATTACATTCCGGCACCGAACGTCAGATAAGAGTCCGATGTTTCCCTCAGGAGCTGCCGCAGACTGAATATTGGACTTTATTCATTGACTCTCCGTGTGAGTCTGATGCTGCTCCGAGTTGTTGGATGTGTAAATACATCAGTTAAATGTGCCAACAGAGAGAGAAACTCCACTGATTCAGGTTCCTGCAGTTCCACGGAAGACGCGTTTGAAGAATGTGTGACGAGTCTTTAATAACGCGCTCCGGTCCCAGCAGACTTTTCTTTCTGTTGTGCAAAACAAATCAAACCGAAGGCGGCGAGCAGAGAACGGCGGCCTGAGATCACACGTCGGCTCGGCGTTCACGAGTCTCTCTCTAATATTTATTTCTCTTTGTCTCAGTCACAATCACAGCTCTGTTCAAAACCAACTTCCGGATGGATTTTCCCTTCGACCTGCAGGAGCTGCCCGCCTTCGCAATCATAGGGTGAGAACGTCTGTGATGAATGTGTTCTGTTGGTACCTGTCGTCTGCCGCAGCATGTTTTTAATCAACTTCGATTCTGAAACAGCAGCTTAGGAGGAACATTGTGCATCTTCAGGGCTTCTGTTTTATAAGAAGCTGCTCCTGAGCCATTAAGCTTTCTACATCAGAGGTCTTATACAGAAAGCTGCTTTTAATTTCTTAATTGAATTATTCTATTTTTTTTATTCTTATTGCTTTAGTTACTGAACCATCTGAACTCCAAAACCTGCTGGTGGATTTGAAGAGTATGTCACATATGTTTTTTTAAATCCCTAAAATGACACCAGAGAACTAATGATCTGTTATGTGGCGCTCCATCCCAAAACATTTTGATTTTTCATCAAAATCATTTTATTCTGCATGTTAGTAACCGCATTCACCAGATTCTGTAAAAAACAAAAAATTCTGAGCTCTTTGTCGCAACCGTGAAGCCACGAGCGCCTCGGCTGTGACCGACGCACGGGCAGCAAAAAATCAGAGAGTTTTTCAGGTGACGCGAAAGTAAAATCAGATATGAAATGACCGACACGAAACAACAAAAAAGAGGCACAAAATTGTAGAAACAAGATATGAAATGACAAAAAACTGCCCAAAAAAACCCTCAAATGAAGACAAAACTATACAAATAAGATGGAAAACAACAAAAAGGAGACACAAAGAGACAAAACTGTCCCAAAAACACACAGAACGGCCAAAAAGAGACTCAAAGCAATAAGAAAAGAGACCAAACGTTCCCTCTGAGGCTGTAAAACTGTGAACAGTTAAATATCTACAGCATGTGGAGCCTCCATTTGTTCCAGTGATGGTGATCATCTGTGGACACTAATGCTGGACATGCTGATTCCACGTTTTATATGTTTTGTTTATGAGTTTATGTTGTTGTTAAAAAGTGACAGCCGTTTCATTCACACGTGTCGTTTTATACATTTATGAAATACGTGTTGAAAGCAGTTTATACCTTTAATTTCTCATCCCGTGTTTTGAAGAGGGAACATCTGCAGCAGCAAAGAGGTTTGTGCAAAAACACAAGTAGCACTGTAGGAAACAAACATAAATAAGAGACGTACACAAGAGCTGACGTGGATGTTCGCTGTTTCTTGCACATGTGGAGAAAAATGACCTCGTGCAGAGTTTTTAATGTATAAAACATTCATTAAGCTGGTTTGTTGTTTCAGGATCTCCTGTGGCTTTCTGGGAGCGTTCTTCGTCTACCTGAACAGACAGGTGGTCCTGTTCATGAGGAGGCCGACGGCTCTCACTCGCTTCCTCACCAAACAGTATGACACTCAAACGCACCACAAACGCACCACAAATGCACCACAGAGCCTCCCTGCTGCTGCTGCTGCTGCTGCTGCTGAGCATTAATGACTCCGTTCACTCAGATCCACTCGGTCCTGATGCTGCTCGGCTCCTCTCAGATCTCATCAGCCTCACAGCGGTGAAGCTCTAACGGCCTCGCAGACGCTAATTCACTTAACGCAGAGAATCAGTGATCTGCTGCGACTCAGTCAGACGACGTTAAACTGCAGCATCACAGAGCAGCAGCAGCTCCGGCCCTGTTTCTGAACCGCAGGCGGGTTGCTGTTAATGATGCTGAGTGTGTGTGTGTGTGTGTGTGTGTGTGTGTGTGTGTGTGTGTGTGTGTGTGTGTGTGTGTGTGTGTGTGTGTGTGTGTGTGTGTTCACTTCCAGCCGTCTCATCTATCCGGGTGCAGTGACCCTCATCATCGCCACCTTCACCTTCCCTCCTGGATTCGGCCAGTTCATGGCTGGAGAGGTGAGACGAGTCGTATTTACTGAAAGCAGTTTTCCAAAAGCCTGCTTCCTGATTTTAAAACAGCAGCAGTATCTCAAATCATCAGGACCATCTCAGATTTACTTCATCATAAAATACGGATGTTCAAAATAGCATCTGTGAAAAATTTAGCCTCATATATCAAATACTTTCCATGATAACATTTTTTAAAAACTGCTTTTTCCTTTTGTAAAAATATCAAACAAATCAGAGCAAAACACGTAGCTGCTGTAGTGTCTCTATAAAACTATTTGATGATTTTTCTTTTGCATATTGTCGTAAAACTGTTCGTGGAACTTTGGCAGCTGAAGCTTTGGGATGTTTCTGTGAATTACAACCAGATAGAAGTTTTCAGAAGGTGTCTCCTTGTAGAAGTTTTGTCTGACTGCTTCATCTCTTCACTGTGTTTCTGTGTCGCTGCTCAGCTGATGCCCAGAGAGTGCATCAACTCTCTGTTTGATAACTTCACCTGGACCAAAATCTCAGATACTCCCGCTCCTCCGGGCCTCGGTCGCTCCTCCGTCTGGCTGCACCCCCGGGTCAGCGTCTTCATCATCCTGCTGCTCTTCTTTGTCATGAAGGTACCTCCTCCTCCTCCTCCTCCTCCTTGTTTCTGTGCAGCAGCAGGTGCAGTCTTTAATGATCTCATGAGAAACCTCTGGGTCTCACCTTCATTCTGCCTTTTGTCCCACAGTTCTGGATGTCGGCGGTCTCCACCACGATGCCCATCCCCTCTGGCGCCTTCATGCCGGTGTTCATCTTGGGTAAGAGGGTTTAGCGACGCCGGCAGCGTCTCCTGCTGAGCTCCGGCTTCGGCTTCTTCACCTCCTATCTGCTCCCCCAGGTGCTGCCTTTGGTCGCCTCGTGGGAGAAATCATGGCCACGCTGTTCCCCAACGGGATCCTGTTCGACGGGATCGTGTACCGCATCCTGCCCGGAGGCTACGCTGTGATTGGTCAGTCTGATAACCTCCCTGTGGCTTCCTACTGGTCGCGAGAGTTAAATGATGATTCGAGCAACTCTGGAAATGCACTTTTTCCTCAACATGTAGCCCTCAGAGCTCTGGATGTTTCTTTACTCCTGTCGTGTTTGTCCTCATTTTTTCTCTGCAATAAATAAAATAAAATAAAAAACCTCTGTGGAAACAGAACAAACATTAAAGAAGGAACTCAGGAATGTCTTCTGTCAGCTAGAATGATGGAAATCAGAAATTAGTTGAGTTTATTTGGTTATTTGTTTTACAAAAAACGTTTTTTAAAAAAACCTGGAATCATCATATAAACTTGATATTTAAGCCAAAATATCCCAGAATTTTCATCACCTGACTGTTGGTCACATCTGACTCAATCGTAGCTTTACAGTTTTGCTGAAAAGTGCAGAATTTTTTAGTTTTTTACAGAATATAGTTGGTGTAAAAGCTTCATTTTTGGCCTTTTTTTAAATGTAGTATTACAATTTTAAACTGAAATTTGGTCAATTTTAACGACAGAACTGAGAATCACAGGTGATTGTTTCGAGGGCTGTTGGCAAGTTTAAAATTTAAACATTTCTGGATGATAAATATAATTTTTGAAGGATGTCGGGCCTTTCAGACCCACCGGCAGGTTTTGGAGTTCAGATACTTTCACAGCAAATCCATTTTCTTATTTTCTTCCAGGTTGGTTTGGCAGCATTTTAGAAGCAGCTTCTCCATTTCACTCCAAAACAGAAATTGCTAAATTACTATTTGAGAGTCACTGAAAAGGATTCGATGTGTTCTGATGATAAATTTCACCCTAAAGTTCAGGCTACACTTCCTCTGGACGCTTTCACATCACAGCAGCTTAAAAACGATGTTTTTGAACGCTTTACTTTTTCTGATTCCTGCCCTTAAAGTCTTACACTTTCGCTTAACTCGTCCAGGTTGTTATAAAGACTAATATTAAAGCTGTTTCCTGCCAGGAGCGGCGGCCATGACGGGAGCCGTCACCCACACCGTGTCCACGGCGGTGATCTGCTTCGAGCTCACCGGCCAGATCTCTCACATCCTGCCCATGATGGTGGCCGTGATCCTGGCCAACATGGTGGCCCAGGGCCTGCAGCCGTCGCTCTACGACTCCATCATCCAGGTGAAGAAGCTGCCCTACCTGCCTGAGCTGGCCCTCGGGCACATCAGGTAAACGCCGGCTCCGTTCTCCGCACAGCTGCAGCTTCATTCATAAAGACCTTATTGACTGTGGCGTCTCTGCAGCAAGTACAACATCTTCGTGGAGGACATCATGGTGCGCAAAGTGAAGTTCTTGTCTTCTCAGTCCACCTACCGGGAACTGAACCACCTGCTGGAGAACACGACGCTGAAAACCATCCCGCTGGTCGACTCCAAAGGTAGGACGCCTTCGTCTGGTCTTAAAGGAATCAACCTGAACCAGTTTTCACG